CCCTCAATGCTTACACGCCCTGCAAATGAGGGCTCTGTGCGACTCTATTTCACAGGGGAGGGGGTTGAGGTACAGTCAGTGCTTCGTGCGGTGAGCTCACACCTGAGCAAACGAAGGCACAGAGAGATTCAGTGCCTTGCCTGGGGAGATCAGCGAGGACTTGAATCTTGCCTGCATCAGAGCCTGTGCTTCTAATTGCTGCCTTGTTCAGGCCCCACCAGAAGCCAGGGGATCCCCTCCAAATGTTTTTCCCATGGCTGAGATGCCCTCATTCTTACCCTCCACTTCCACTGCCTTGATTGCCCACATTCCTTCCAGATGGACCCCCTCTCTCACAGGATCCCCTCATCTCTCCGTGCTTCCTACTGGCAGTCCTGAACCGCAGCCCAGTAAACCTGTCATGGCTGCCCCTGGCCTACAGCAGCAAATCGCATTCATTTTCCTTGTCAGGGTCATGAGTTTTGCCATGTAATGAACGAGCTGTATGTCATTAGCCTCGTTCTTCAAATCAACCCCTTACTTAAATGTATTTTTTTAAAAGGAAATATCATAGCTCTCCCATAAATGGAAAACCAGTTCTTTTCAAACAGACCTTACAATACATAGAAAATCATTAAAATTTAAAAGACTCATCCAAGGATCACCTATAATCAAGAACTGTTCTTCCTAGCACCATTTGAAAGCACACAGTTATTTGCAATTCTTTATGCGCAAATCTAAAGAGAAGATTTGTTTGTGTTGACTGACACAGTGAAGTTTTGTTTTGTTTTGTTTTGTTTTTTCAGGTCAAATCCTTTTCCCTTTTCCCTTATTGTTTTAATCTTTGGTTTCATGCTTATTAACTTTTCCCTTACCACCAAGATTACATAAGTATTCACTGAAATAGGCTTTTACGGTTTCGTTTTTCGTTTGAATCTTTCATCCATCTAGAATAAGAAATAGGAGTCTGACTTTGTCTCATTTCAAGGGGTTGGCCATTTGCCCGAACTGTTTATGGGAAAACACGCTTTCCCCACTAATCTGAAAGGCCATCTTTTCAGATATTAAATATTTATATAATTTCAGGTTCACATTTAGATTTTCTATTCTTTGCCATTCCGTGTTTGCATTAGGAATTCAATGTTTAAAAGATTTTACCTTTTCTATCTGATCATCTCATTTCCCCACCCACCTGTTTTGCTTTTCCAATATTTCTTGCTGGAAAATGGACATTTTTGACACTATTACGTCTTTCTATGCAGGGACATGTCGGATCTCTCCATTGACTTCAGAATTTGTATTTCTCAGGTCAGAGTTGCAGCCTCCTGTCCTGTGTGTGTGTTTCCTTGCTTGGTTTATTCCTAACTTCTTATTGAATGGTGAATGAGATCTTTTTTCCAATATATTTTGCTGTAGTTATTTTGGGGCCTTTGGCAAGCCACAAGGTTTTGTATATTTATTTTGTAACTGGCCACTACACTGAGTTTTCTTTTCAGTTGGAAGAGCGCTTTCACCCTGTGGCTTCCTTGGGATGTTTTGCCCCGGTCCCCTCTGAAGCCGTCGTCCAGCAGCCCAGGCCGATTCCGTGGCTGTCGCGGGGGCTGGTTGGCCCTCAGCTCCGGCTTGAGGAAGAGGCACTTTCCCCTCAGGAACATCCAGGGGTCCATCTCCAAGCAAAATATTTTTCCCATGAAGGAGCTTCTTTTACGTCAGCTGGTATTTTGGTCAGGAATTACGGAATGTACTTCACAACAAATTCAAAACACACTTCTTAAAACCAGACCTTTCCCAACAAGATCAGCAACAAATGTGTTACTTTTCTCACACCTTGGACATGTAGGAAAATGTGTACTCAGGGAGCTGGCTGGGCGCCGGCCTGGGGAAGGTGCCAGGCTGCATGAATGCTCCAGGGTAGGGGCCTGACTTGTTCTTGTTTGCTGGGCTCTGAATAGCTGCTAAGAGTCCCTCCCAACACCGCAGGGCGCTGGGTCCTCCGAGCGCAGGCCAGGCCGGGAGCGGCAGCCTCCTGCAGAGGAGCGGGCGGCGGCAGTACAGGGGGCGCCCGGGTTTACCACCTGGGTGCACGGCTGTGTTTGTCCCCAGCATCTCCCATCTGCCTCCCGGGATGAAGGAGCCACTTTCCCGTTTTTAAGAAGAAGAACTGGGGTTTCACATGTTTAAAGTAATTTGCTCCAGGTTCACAGTCATTCAGGACAGAGCCTGGGTTTGAGCCCAGTTTAAATCAGCGAGTCTCAAACGTTTTGGCCTCAGGATCCCTTTACATTCTTAATCAATTCATTGAAAGTTATTGAGGACTTTGATGAGCTTTTATTTGAAACTAGAGGCCCAAAGCACGAAATTCGTGCAAGAGTAGGCCTTCCTTCCCCTGGCTGCTGGCACTGGCTTCCCTCTGGCACCCAGGACCCGGGCTTCCGGCCCACCTGCCGCAGCCCACGGGCCGGTAGCCTGGGCCTCCCTCTGCGGGGCGAACATGGTGCGATGGTCCGGCCCTCACCAATCCCATCACACCCGCCTTGGCTGGCCTGGCGCCAGTGGGTGTCACAGCGTGGTCCCAGATGGTCATCCAGATGGTCGTTCTGCTGTTTGGCCAATCAATCGATTTGCATATTACACTTTTATTACATAGGATTAGAGCTGACAGGCTTTTATAAAAAATTCTCACCCGAGGATATGGTTTTATTGTTTTGAAGGAGAGCAAGGGAGAGAGAGAAAGAGAGAGAGAAACACTGATTTGGTTGCCTCTCATATGTGCCCCGACGAAGGACTGAACCTGTAATATAGGTATGTGCTCTGACCAGGAATCAAACCCACAGCCTATTGGTGTACTGGACGATGCTCCAACTGACTAAGCCACCCGGCCAGGGTATAGAACTGAGAGACTTTTAAAGCACAAGAATTACCCAGCCCACATCTCCTGGGCTGTCAGAGCTACGATGCCATGACACGTCGCTCCTGAAGATGCTCTGTACTCACATGAGAGGACACGACAGGGGAATAACAGTTTAGCATTATCATGAAAGTGATTTTCACCTTGCAAACCCCCTGGGAGGGTCTTGGGCCCCGGGGCTCTCTGGATTACACTTTGAGAACCATGACTCTAAACTGCTGAGAGCTAGGCCTTTGTGAGCACAAATCAAGGTGACTTGTTTCTGGCCTGGAAGAACGGGTCCAGATGAACTAATTGTGATATAGAAATGGGCGGAGGATGGAGAAGACGGTGGTGGGGACGACAGGAACTAATCCCCCTTTGCTGAGTGGCTCCTGTCAGCACCTCCAGCAACCCCATGACGGAGACACCAGCACCACCACGGCCCACGGAAGCTGAGCAGAACGAAGTGGCTTGCCTGAGGTCACGCAGAAAGTGAATGGGTTCAGGAGCAGAAAGACTGGCCAGACAGAGGGACCTGCTGAAATGACTGTCAATGACCTTCCCAGGCTGCTGGCCCAGGGGAGGTCCTCACCTGATGTCTTGGCCTGATGCTTGGTTGACGGAGCAGGGACTGTGGGACCCAGCCTGTTCCAGCACCTTCTTCCACTATCACTGAGCCTCTAAGCGCCTGCTCTGCATGATGCAGGCTAATCCAGGGGGCAGATGTGAACTGATGGTTGGACGGATATCCAGGCCCAGGCTGGGTGAAGTCCTGTAGTAGCAGTGCAGACTCACTCTCTCCTCTGGCTTTTGAAGGCGGGCCTCTGCAAGCTCCCGTCCAGTTTCCCCCATCGCAGCGCCTGCCCCTTCCACACACATGGCTTTTCTTACTGCTGCTGCCTCAGCTAGAGTTGCCCTGCCAGCCCCTTCCTCAACTCCCCAGTTCCCTCAGCTCCTCAGAGACACACACAAACCTGCATGCTCTCTGGCCCCAGGCCTGGCCAGGGCCAGTGGGACCTGGAATTAAGTTGTCTTCTCCATGTTGTCCCTGCTCAGCTCTGGGCACGGCCACAGCTGTCCCAGCAGCATCTTGGCCCAGCCATGCTGGTTGGCTCCTTCAACCATACCCCTTTCTCTACCCCACCTGCTTCCCTGCCAACCCAGAGCCAAGTCAGGCTCTGCTCCTCCTCTCCTGTTCTCTCGCTGCTGCTTCACGTGGGGTCATGATTCACTGTCCCACAAGGCTGAATTTCCCACTGGCTAGACCAAGGGTGGGGAATGTCCCTCGAAATCATTTGGTCTGGCCCTGCCAAGGCATTAGGGTGAGTTAATTAAATGTTTGACCACATATAAGAGGCTGATTTTTAAGTTGATAATTTTGTATGGCCCTTGAATGATGTTATAAATATCCAAATGGCCCTTGGCAGAAAAAAAGGTAGACCCCAGCCCTGCCTGCCCTCAACTCCCCCTGCCTACTGGCCAACACAGGTAAGGCACAGGCCCTGTCCTCGGGGAAGGCAGTTTAGCTGGGGAGGACAGATCCCCCAAGAGCAAATGGGACAGCACATGCAAGGCCAAGAGCATGGGCCGGGGGCACCAGGGAGGCTTTGGAGGGAGCCTGGATGTGGGTAATGGGGAGGAGGAGATACCAGCACGGAGAATGAGTACATTAAGCTACTTCATCTCTCTGACCCTCAGTTTCACCATCTGTAAAATGGGAGTGATAAAACCTACCACACAAGGGACCTATGGGGTGCTTCTGTTGCCCAAAGACACCCTGGCTGTCTCTGGCTCTCACCGCCCCACGGCCCTTTGCCAGCCACAACCATAAAGGTCGCTTGTGAGAGGGAGCACCCCGGTCCTACGCAGACAGCCACCAGCTGCCTGGTGAACTGCTCACGTGCTCATGCATCTGGCGGCTGGAAGCTCGTAGTCGCAGCTGCAAGCAGCCTCTCTTTCTTCTTCGCTTTCGGTCACTAACTCTCTGGCTTTGTCCTCCCTTCCCCCGCTGGCAGGAAAGTTATGAATGGAATGTACGAATTCCAGCCCACGTGCGCGCTCAAGAATGCGGCCGCCGTGACCTTCCTCGGGGGCGGGGCGCTCCCCTCGGAGCCCTCAGCCCGCGGTTAGGTCTTGGCACCTGGCATCGCGGGCACTCAGAGCCACTCAGCCTGCCGCCTGCAGCTGGAGAGTCAGAGGGCAGGCCCGGGAGGGCAGCGGAGCGGCCAGGGCACAGGCACCCACCAGGAGAGCAGGTAGGCGCACAGGCACACACGGCGGGATGTGCATAGGCGCTCACACACACAGAGCATGGTGCACCCACACAGCCTGTGTACACGCCCACTGCACGGAGCCACTGCAGGTGGGACACCTACAATGGCGCGCACATATCCATACCGTGCTCTTCACAAATACACGTAACTAGGGTCTGCACGCACAGAGACATTGACACACCAGACGCTTGCACACGTGTGCACGCCTCCCTGCACACACACATGCAGTGCTGTGTGCATACATACAGCAGGTCTTGCACACACCTCAAAGGAGCATGGATGTCCATCGCATATGTGCACAGACCCCCCCTACATACACTTCGAGGGAAGACTTGGGTGAACAGCTTCATTCTCCTCAGTGGACAGGTGGAAGGCAGAGAACCATGACGTCCTGGGCACCGGAAGCCCCCGCAGCCCCCTGGGCTGGCCAGCCCTGCCCCTGCCCTGTTGGCCTTTCTCTTGGGATGGAGGCCTCCGGGGAAAAGCTGCACAAGGCGATGCTGGGGGTATAAGGTGCTCCTTTCTCAATGGCTTGTGCTAACTCAGGTCCTGGTGTTTGTGTTAAACCAGGCATGAGGGCTTAAGCCTGCAGTGGTTCTCAACCTTCCTAATGCCACGACCCTTTAATACAGTTCCTCATGTTGTGGTGACCCCCAATTTCATTGTTACGAATTGAACATAATTAAAGCATAGCGATTAATCACAAAAACAATATGTAGTTATATTGTGTTTTCTGAGGGTCTTAGGCGACCCCTGTGAAAGGGTCATTCGACCCCCAAAGGGTTGCCACCCACAGGTTGAGAACCGCTGGCTTAAGGAGTGGGAGCTGTTGGAGAACTGGAGGGTTAATAGGGGCCCCTAAGGCTGACCCTACCCCAGCTCCTTGCTGCTTTGGCTGCCAGCCAGCCCTCGTGTCCATGCCAGCTCCAGCACCACCATGGGCATGCTCCCACCGGACACTGGGTTCTCCCATGGGATACGGGCTAAACAAACCTCCCACCCCGTGGGAACCGGGCATCCTGCCAAACCTCTCCTCCATCCACTTCTTCATTCATCCACCCAGGAGTTATTGTGAATGTTAGTGACATGCCACACACCACAGGGACACCAGTCAGTCAGGACACCAGCCCCTGTCCCCACCCCATGCAAGCTTCCAGCCTGCGGATACACGTTGTTTGACCTTGTTATGATTTTAAAACTTCTCATTTTCTGTAAAAATCTAGATTTCTGTCTTTTCTTAAAAATGGGAGCCTCTGCTATCGCCTTGCCCAACTACGCCTTCTGACTGACCTGGGCATGCACCTTGCTGCTGCTCCTGCCTTTCTCTCTCCCTCCTGCTGTTGGGACATGGCCGGGCCCTTCCCAGGAGGCTTTTGTGTTCACCCCCCCCCTCCCCCGGATGTTTGTGGCAGGTCCCACCTGCCACCTCCAGGGGGCTGCCCCCAGCCCAGGCAGGGACGGCAGGGACAGCCCTGGTAGAGCTGGAGGCACTGGATTAAGTCCCCTGATTCAGAGCTCTGGGCATATGTGTGTTTAAGTGGGAGGGAGGCAGGGTATGCAAGTATCTCAGGAGAAAGGTCAGTTGGAATCAAGAGGTGCACAAACCTTGGGCTCTTCATAAAGGCACGTGGCTTTGAAACATGGCAGATGCTGACCTCAGGGGACCCTACTGTCCACTTTTATCCATCATGCCCTCTGAGGAAGACACTGTGCGATTGCGAACTGCCCCACAGGCTTCACTACTACGTCTGTGTGTGAGTGGGGCGTGGCGGGGGTCCATTTCCAGAGCGCTCAAACAGGACGGGATCCTGGGTCACCTCTCCGTTTTCAGACATGCCTTTGATGACACATTCCAGCATTTCTGACTGCATTTTTGCGTTGTCCTTTGTTTTCATAATGGCATCCAACTGCTGGTTGAGTCCAGAGCCCAAGTGAGTGGCCGCAGACATTCTTCCTCAGCCCCCCTAGCCATTGCCGCCTCACTCGTTTCACTTGGTTTAGGAGAGATACATGTCTGCACCAGTGCCTGCACTTCCAGTCCTCTTGCCGCTCTTTAGTTCTCGTGATAATGATAACAAAGTGCACCAGACGCAACCGCACAGCCGTTGTTCCCACGGCCAGGGTGGTGCTGCCGGATGGGCCTGCTAATCCCCCTGTGATGTGGCCCTGGAAGACCCCATCCTAGGATCCTGCTTTTCAGGGGGGTTTGTCCTTTCCTCTCAACACGTGGAGTCTGGGATCTCAATACCCCAGGGTGACAGGCCACCCTTTGAGAGAGTACCTGCCTGTGAAGTGTGGCAGTCCTGGTCTCCACAGCTGCCTGTGCGTTCTCTCCCCTCCCCCTTCCAAAAGATGCTGGGTGGATGGTGTGCACCCACAGTCACCTGGACATGCATCTGGTCTCCAAATGTCCTTGACCCTAGAGCAGGGGCCAGGATGAATGTCCAGGCTCAAGCCAACTCCTTCTAAATACACGGAGATGGGCACAGACCCAGAAAAAGGGTGAGTTCCTGAGCTGACTGGGATTTTGGTTATGTGAACATAGGAAATGAAGAGAGATTCATTCGAGCAATGAATTCCATTTAAAACGACCTGCATACCAATAAATAAATAGATAAATAAATAAGGGGGGAAAAGCTTCTGAAATTTGATTATTCAGTCATGAGGCTGAGCATAGTTAATAGACAATTGAGTAATTTCTACTTTTTACACATGTGTTTTTCCATCTCTGGCATTCTATAATAAAAGTTTGCAATAGTTAAAAGAAGCAAAATAGAATGAAATAAAGAAAATGACCTGTATAGTCTATAATTCATCCTGACGGCATGGAATTTAATCTCTAACTTTAAAATGTGATTATCTTTTAGCTGATTTATTTATTTATTTTGCTTTACTCTTATGTTTCACATCTAATTTTGACTTCAGTGCCACCCCCTAAGGAACCCATATTTGGGGGAGTTCAGCTTGGGGGGCGGGGAGGGTGAAGGGGTGGAGAGTCTGCCCTGCCCTAGAGGGATGGTCTTCCCAGGCCCCTTCTCCTGGGCTGTGCCTGGAGCCACTCTCTGAGATTCTGGGGTGGAGTGGCCCAGACTGGGCCAGGCAGGAGTGAGGGAGGAGGAGGTGGCCCCGTGTTCAATAGAGGCTGAAGGGAGAGCTCAGACATTTGGGGGCCTTGATCTTGGCAGGAAAGTCTCCATGGATCCCCTCGCCTGCCCTGTCAAAGGCCAGTTACTCAAGAGGCAGCAGAAAGTCCTGGACGTACTGAATTGTGTGCTGGCCTCTGGGCTCATGTAACCCCACTCTCCATTGTGCAATGGGATGAAAGGGCCACCAGGGAGGGAAGGCACACACAAGGGCTTTGCATCATCTATACGTGGAACTGGGTCAATCAATTATACACAGTTGGCACGGAGAGGGAGAGAGACAGCAAAACTGGTTCTCACTGTGCAGGCGATGCATGCCCTGGGAGCCCAGGAGAAGAGGAGTGAGGAGGATGCCAGGTGCCTGCTAAGTGCTGAAGTGCCCCGTAAATGCTCCGCTCTCATTAACAGCTCCGTAGCCAGCACAGAAACCTGGCAGCTCTCACCCCCGTACTTGGTCTCCGCAGTGGTACCTCTGTTCCAGTGTGTAAAAATAGGCATGGCTCACACCAGGTCCTCACCACTGAGCCATCTGACCCAGGCACAGCGGGACACTTAACTGTGTTGATTTAGCGAGGCTAGACACTCCCAATGTATGGAACGTATTAAGATGTTTCCTGTGGGACTTCAGCCCAACGTGTGTTTGGCTCTGCCCTGGTCTTGAAACGTGACTCTGGGCCACGGCCATGCTGCCAGGGGTTTCCAGCAGAACCAGATCCCGCGTTCCTCTGCTGCACTCCGCTGCCCCCCTCTGGTCAGGCTGCGAGGACACCGCAGGTTCTGAGCACTGGTTTGCAGACCAGGAGACAGGAGGTGTCAAGCAGCCCTGACCCCAGGAGTGCCCTAGGAGGAGACGTTTGATCTGTCTTGGAGACAAGCTCTTCCTCCCCCTGGGGCAGTGATGGCGAACCTTTTGAGCTCAGCCTGTCAGCATTTTGAAAAACCCTAACTTAACTCTGGTGCCGTGTCACATATAGAAATTTTTTTGATATTTGCAACCATAGTAAAACAAAGATTTATACTTTTGATATTTATTTTATATATTTAAATGCCATTTAACAAAGAAAAATCAACCCAAAAAATGAGTTCGCATGTCACCTCTGACACGCGTGTCATAGGTTCGCCATCACTGCCCTAGGGGATGGCGCTGGATATGTCATTTACCGAACCAACCATTGAAATTTCTATGCGATTCTTCAGGGGCCTTGCAGATGCTCATGGACATTATGTAAGAAGAGGACACATACTTCCCTGACCTCTGGATGAGGGGGGGAGGGCCAGGCCAACCTTGGGCAAGCCTTTCACCTGCGGAGAAAGCACACAGCCTGCCCTCTTTTCTTTGGTCTCTTTCTGTCTTTCTTATTCACAAGAGTCAATAGATCTGGGTCCTGGTCCCTAGTTTGTCATGCACTGTGAGACCTCAGCCAGGAGGCATTCCTCCCAGGGCCTCAGTTTCTCCCTCCATAAAATGGAGCTCTTGTGCTGGGAGGCCGTTATATTCCTCCAGCTCTGACATCGCTTCAGATGCTGAGATTCAGAACAAATAAAAACCTTCCTAGCCCCCAAGAAAAGATGCACTCATGGGCCCCTTTCCCTGTGTAAAGGCTGGGGCAAGATAACGGGGCAGGAGTGCTCTAGGCCTCCATTTCTTCTTCATACTTTTGTATTTAAAAAAATGTAGGTATCTTAGTAGATTTTTCCAGTTATGAAAGTACTATGAACACATAAAACCACACTCGACTTTCCAACAATCAAGGAACTGAAAATGTAAATGACCATATATGGCATTTATCACTCACCAGAGTGGCAAAAATGCAAAAGTCTGTGAATGACTAGTGTTGTCGAGGGTGTAGGAAAAGAGGCAATTAGACATCCCGTGCCCTGTTCTGAGCAATTGCATGTCTACGAATCTGCCCTACAGAAGGACTTGCTCAAGGATGTTGGCATGTGGTCCAAAATGCCCACTGGGGCATTCTTTGTAAGAGCAGAAATGGGAAATGAGCTGGATTCTGTCCACAGAGGGGGAGCTGGCTTACGATGCAGAAGTAAGCAGATGACTCACGCCAGCTGTGTCCATGCTCCACTGCAATATGACTACAGCCCCGCACAGCACGAGCTGGGGCCTGTTTTTCACCCTTAAAGGCCGGCCTGTGACACACACAACATGTGGGAGTGGCCTTGTGCCAGACCCTCACAGCTTCTGCCGTCACGCTGAGACTTACATGTTATAGCAAAGACTGGTCCAGCCTGCTAAGGGGGGTGGTTGGGGGTCCCCATGGAGGGCACCTCGCCCTAGTGGACAACCAGCACTGCTGGATGTGAGCAAGGTCTTCCTGGGCCTCCCGGGCCTTAGATAAGCCATCTGATGACTATTGCCACATGCGTGATCATTGCTGAAACCAGCGGAAGGCGCACCCAGGCTGGCAGCCCTCAGCACCATGAGAAATAACAAATCTTTGTAGTTTTCAGTCTCTAAAGTTTTGGATGATATGATGTTAATTTATGTGTCAATTTGGCTACACTATGATACCCAGTTTGGGGTCAAATACCAGTCTAGATAGGTAGTTTTAGATGAGATTAACATGTAAGTTGATAGACTTTGAATAAAGCAGATGACCCTCCATAATACGTGTGGGCTTCGCCCATTCTGCTGAAGGCTTTCAGACACAAGACTCAGGAGAGGAAGGAATTCTGCTTCAGACTCTGCAAATCAACTCTTCCCTGGGCCGCTGCCCTGCCAGCAGGCCCTGAAAATGTCAGACTTGTCAGTCCCTACAATTGCATGAGCCAACACCTTGAGATAAATCTCTCTCTATATTTACACATCCTATTGGTTCTGTTTCTCTGGAGAACTCTGACTAATATAGACAATTTGTTATATAGCCGAAAATAATTAATACAAATGTCATGCAGCCATTAAAAATCGAGGCAGACATGTATGTACTGCTATGGAAATAGTTTTGTGATAGATTAAGGGGAAAAACATAAAGACAGTTGTAGAATAATATGCATGTCTTAAAAGAACCTTGTATATGTTATTCTCGTAAATGTGTATACAACATGTAGGAAATGCGTTAAGTAACTCCACTATACCTTGCAGTGCGTCCTCTGCTGAGGTGGTAGTAACGAAGGGAAGCTTTCGGTTTTCCACGAACTGCTACACTCTCTGGATCTGTTAGGCTGAGTGTGGATTCAAATATGGCTTTCATGGTAAGACCCCCGTTGGGACAGGTCTGGGGGACATCAGCTCAGTGTGGGGTATAGAGCACAGATATGTGGCAGGTTTGGGTTCATATACTGCTTGCCACCAACTGCTCTGGGACAAGGAGTGCTGAGCTCCAGTCTGGGCCTCAGTCTGTGCTTCTGAAGTGAGGCCAATGACACCAACCCCATAGGACTGTGGTAAGGCTGTGTCCATGAAAGGCACTTGGCACGCACCCACCACAGGGCGTGACTTTCATTTTTTTCATGAATATTCTCCATCAAAACCCCAGTGCCAGGCAGTGAGAGCCACAGAGTGATGGGTCCAGAGTCTGTGAATTCAGGTCTAGCTTCTTCACTGACCACGTGGTGGCTCAGGCCAGCAAGTCCTCTCTGTCCCCGCCCTGTTCGTGTGGACAGTGGGGTGAGGCTAAATGAGGAGGCTATAAGAGTGAAACATGTTAGAGAAGGCAACTCCATAGAGACAGACCAAATGCCTTGTAAAACCTGTCCCTTCCACCAGCAAGTTCTCCATCAGGAGGGAGATAGAACTTAAATTAATCAGCCTGACCTGGAAGACATGCAGACCTTCTGTGCTCTGGACCCCACTCCCTACTCCCTCTCCTCTGGTCTAGGCTTCCCCATCTCAGTGCCACCTCAGTCCCTGCCCACCTGGGGTGTTGCTATCTTTAATCTCAGCTGTCTCTGCTGTCTATTCAGGCTACTCCCCCAAGAGTGGCAAATCATAAGCATAACAAAACAATGTCCTTTCAGGATGCTGGTGGTGATGATGGAGCCCTGGCTATTGTGTCAGGGTGGGGTGTGGTGAGCAGAGAGCATGTGCCATGTCTACAGAGTCAGCCACAGCTCAGCCCCTGCAGAATGTGACCATGAGACAATGGGAGCCACATGGGCCCCTCCAAGCTACAGTATGCTCTCAACTTGATGAGCACCTTGGGGGTTGGGCCTTAGACCTGAGCAGTGTGTTGCTGTCGCTGTTCTTGTGTATAGTCCCATTCTGCTGATGTACCCCTGAGGTCTGCTGAGGTTGGAGCTGACCTAGGAGTGAGGTGCTAACCTCCACATCTCGTGCTTTCTGCACCCAACAGGCTGCCTTTGGCTCTGTGGTAGACAGTTGCAATAAAGGCGCCAATTAGTTAGCCCCTGTGGGGTCTCTGTCATTCCTCAGCCCCTCTCATGCTGACTGCACCAGGCCATGTGATAGCAGCAAATGTGAGGCAAGCAGATGCCTGGAAAGTTCTGATGTGTTGATGTTCCCCTTGGAAACTGGAGAGCATTGCGCGTAGCTGAGCCTGACTGGCCTACGGGAGACTGAGAGAAACACTCATTCAAAATGAGAGGCCTGGTCACCCTCTCCCCTGTTTCCCCAGCTGATGACCAGCCAAACCCCAGAAGCAGAGCCCCTGCAGACCTACTGCTGACCACAGGTGCACAAAGAAGCCTGGGTGAGGCCAGAAGAACCATCCAGGTGAGCCACATCGCGCTGTCTGTGAGCAATACGAAACCACTAAGGTTTGGGAGTTTGTTATGTAGCCACAGATAACTGATAACACCAAAAGATATTATCAAAGATACTCATTATCAATATTCAGATAAATCTTTCAAAATCTCTTTTTTATAAAACATATTCTCATCTACCCATCACCTATCATCTGTCTATTATCTATCATCCGTACTCTATCTCAATATTTAACTAGAACAGGACCCAATTACACACATTTTAGTATCACCCTCCAGCAGCTGTGATTCACCTCGGGCCCTGTGATAACTTCAGCGACAATAAGCACAACTGCTGGCAGTCGGCATACTTCATTTTTCCCTTTGCATCCAAGGAATTCCATGGGCAGCACATCTGTCCCAGACTCCACGGGAGACAGGTGGCGTGCTTACAGAGCTGAATGGAAGAGAATGAAATGACACAGTTATTTGCCAGAACAGGGCAGGGTCAGCAGCCAGCCTGGGAGCTGTTAGGCCTTATTCTGCAGAAGCTGGCAGGGCTGGACCCACGAGGGCTGGAGCCTGTCAACATAAGAAATGCCCAAACCTGTCAAGAATTTTTATAAGAGTTTATTTGAGCCCAAATGACAATGATTGCCAGGAAGCAGGTTCTCAAGTGCGCCAGAGAATGACATTTTTGCAGATTCTTTTATGCAATTGGAATTAAGGAGGGACATAAGAAAGATTACATGAAGGTCGGAGAAAGCAGACCATGATTGGATTACAGGATAGCTAAGATTATGCCCTCTCTTGAGAGTGTTCTTGCTATTTCAAAGGTGTGTTAACCTAGACACACAGAAACAACGGACAGGTCTTAGGCAAAGATAATCTTTTGCTAAAGAAGTTATATGTCTGGGGCAAGACTGCCCACCATGACCTGCCCAGTTAGGAATTCATGATCGCATCACTCTGTGGGATAATTTTGATTAGATTGATCACAGTGCCCTGTTTTTGTCCCTCATAAGCCACACACAAATTTCCTAGCAAGAACAGTGGCCCCAAAGGAAGCAACCACTATCAGAACCACAGGGAGGGGAAGAGGAAATGGGGAGACTAACCACCCTGATCTCTCCCCTCACCCCACTCTCCAGACACCTGCTCCCTTTGGCCCAACCCAAGTGGAAGCCAGAGGGTGAGAAGCTGCATGATGGGAACTGCGTCTGGCCGTCCGGAGCTGGAAACAGGACAGAGAAGGGCAGACTGCACAGGAAGGACAAAGTGAATAACCAGAACACAGGCCCATGCAATCTCTTTCTAACGCGCTCATTTTTTCACTGTGACTCACAGAGGGGTGCCAACCTCTATCCCAGTGCTAGGTCCTGTGCCTTCCGCCTTGGCCCTGTAGCCTCCGGGCCCCCATGAGGGGAGAGGACTAGACCAGACCAGCATAGCCCTGCATGCCTGCCCTGGGGGTTTCTCCCCTCTTCCCCTGAGCAACAAGCTTGAAGAAACGTCCATAAACTTGGTTTGGCCTCGGCCACCTTGGCATATATCTCTCGGGAGCAAATAAGACAACAGCCAAGGAAATACCTGTGAACAGAAAGGACATGTATTATCTCTCCTGAGAGGTTGAGAGGGGGGCTTCAGGGTTGGCTCAACCGCTTGACCCTATTCCCACTGAGTGGTTTCTCCCTGCTTCTCCCTTCCCCAGCCCCTGGCAGCCACCAATGTGTGCTGTCTCTACAGACTCACCTATTGTGGTTATTTCACATAAAAGGAAACCTACAACGTGACCTTTTGTGTCTGGTTTCCTTCAGTTACCATAATGCTTTTGCGATCAGGATTTCATTCCTTTGCTCCGGCTGTGGGATATTAAACAATTTGTCTGGCCTTTGTCCCAGGGGATGAGCTTCTAAAGCGCTGGGGATCCTGAGTGAAGAATGTCTTTGTTATTTAAATGAGGCCTCTGAATCTCCTAGAAAACTTCAAGACCAAAAGGCGGTGTGGTGGGCGGGGCTGCTGTGTTTGTGACCACTGTCCTAAGCTTAGCAAAGCTTCAAATATTTATTGAAGACTGGGTGGAAAACCATCCAGCTCTTAATAAATCAACTCAATAAAAAAGAGGGTTGGAAGTGACACTTGAAGATTTTCCTCCATCTTTTATTTTCCCCTTTATGGAAAAAAGAAACCACTGCATTCTCAAATTTGTTATTGGCACCTGTGAAAAACCCTGGAAAATAAATTTAAAATGGAAATCCTGCTCTATTCACACTGTTATGTAACTTGATTTTTCAGACATATGTGATGGCAAGCATATTATGCATAATTATTTTCCCTTTCTCTATTTTTTAAAAATGATTTTGCTGGGCATCCTCTGCTCCTTACCCCCATCCCTTATAGCAGCCTTCTGAGAATTCATGATAAGAAGTTTCCAGGTGTACTTTTATATTTTTGCCCATGCTGAAATAAGAATAAACTGTCCTAGACATAGACATATTAATATATATACATATATATACACATACATACATACATATACACATACATATGCTCACATAATATGCATATATGCAATCTCCTTATCATTGCTTATTTTCCAAAATGAGATCATAGTATATGTATTTCTTGGCATCTTTACTTGTATATTGTGACCATTTTTCTATTGGGTTTTCATTCTTTTTATTACTAATGTGTAAGAACTTTTTACGCTTAAATACTATTAACTATTTGTATTAGTTTCCTGGGGTAACACAGAGCAGCTTAGAACAACAGAAAGCCATTGTCTCGGTTCTGGAGGCAGTGAGTCTGAAACCAAGGTGCGGGCAGGCATGCCACCTCTGCAACCTGTGGGCATCCTTCCTTGCCTCTTCCTAGCTTCAGGGGTTCGCCAGCAATTATTGGCATTCCATTTCTTAAAGATGCATCACTTCTATCTGCACCTTCACATGACCTTCTTCCCCTTGTGTGTGTCTGTCTCTACTTCCAAATTCTCTTTTGATGTGGACACTGGGCACATGGGGTTGGGGCCACTCTAATGACCTTATTTTAATTTGACTGCCTTTGTCAAGACCCTATTTCTAAATAAGGTCAAATTCTGTGGTAATAGGGATTAAAACTTCAACCCCTTTTTTGGGGTACACAGTCCAGCCCATAACACTTTCCGATGGTCATTTCAGTTGTGCAAATTTTAAGCTAGTGATTTCTTCCTCCTTTAATATTTGTGGGGCTTTTAAGCATAAATTAAAAAGAATTTTTTCCACATAGTTAAATCAGTTATGTTTTACCTCTCTCTGACTTCTGAGAAACAAAACTTTCTCCTCCAAGTTTTTAGAATTATTACTCTATCTTATTGAAATGATTTTGTTAATGTTTTCATGTTTAAAATTTAATCCATCTGCATGGACAGAAGTATCTCTTGAATTAAATACAAACATGACTCTCTTAAAGACAAACAGTTCTTACCACACTGAAGAAGAAAATGTCTCCTGGCTGCCCCTTAATTAGCGAAGAATAACCACCATTCCTCCACTGCCCCTCCACCCCTGCCGCCCACTTGCATGGAATCAGTAAATCACACTGCTATCCAGGGTGGTATTTAGTCTGTGCTCTTTTTTTGCTTCCCTTTCAGGCTTAGCTGGGCGAGAAAGCAGCCACAGACCGCCCACCCCCCTCCTTCAAAGGCTGCTCCCTTAGCAACACAATGAGAGCCTTAGAAATGAGCGGTACAGAATAGACTGGATTAAATCATTAGCAAAGGACTGTAACTGTCCTTGGTCTCCATCTGGGAGGAAAAAAAAAAGAATGCCCCCCATTCTTACATACATGCACAAACTTATATACCCATGGTTACACACATATGTAATAGTCAGATATATGGGCAAATACTGAATTTTTTTAAAGTACAACTCTATTATTGTTTTGAAAGGGACAATTAATATAATGAAAATGTTGTCTCTTCCCTTTTCAATGATTTTGCCTCATTTCTCTGTCTTTTGGCATTGTCTAGAATTTTATGGACCATGTTGATTGACACCATAGATCGTCAGTACTACATATCTGCAATTTCTAAGTGCTAAAAGCCCTGAAATCTAAAAGTTCTTCACAGATTTGTAGCAAACTTATTGGGAAACAAAACCTGACCTGAACTAATGTCAGCTCTTTGTACTCTTTATATGCAGAATTGGGGAAGCTTATTTGGCTGCTGAGATACTAATGTGCTTGATTATGTAGGGCTGGCCCCGCCCCCACTGGGGTTGTACCCAATATATAGTATATACTAGTACATAATATTGCCTTGAAAAACTGATCACAAGATTGAGCTGATCCCAAGGGTCTCAGTGAAGGGTTTCTGCATCCTTAGCTCACTGAGCATGTGTCTGTTGTCTGACATGAATAAAGGTGCGTCTAGCACTTATTAATTAAACTTGACTTTAGCTACTGGCTTGTGACAGATACTTTTAAAGTTTAAATTAAATTAACTTTTAAATTCAGTTAAAAGCGTTTTTCATGCCATCCTTTTGGTCATTTTGGTTTACCGCCTCTTGGTCATTTTCCTTTTCATAAAAAAATTCAATTGTATTTAGTGTTAAGTGTTTTTGTATTAAGTGTTTTTGTTACTGTAGGTAGCTAGATATTAATAAAGGAAGGGAGTAAAGGGAATCAGATGTTATCTATAATAAATAAAAGCATAATATGCTAATTAGACCGGACAGTTGAACGACCTTGCAGGCATCATTCCAGACGTTCTTCCAGAGGAAGCTGTGTTGGCATGGGCCAAGGCAGAGACAGTTAGAGGAGATCAGGCAGGCAGGTGAGCAGTTAGGGGCAATCAGGCAGGCAGAGTGGTTAGGGGCGATCAGGCAGGCAGGCAGGTGAGCCATTAGGAGTCAGTGGTCCCGGATCGCAAGAGGGATGTCCGACTGCAGGGATCACGCCTAAACTGGTAGTTGGACATCCCCGGAGGGGTCCTGGATTGCAAGAGGGTGCAGGCCAGGCTGAGGGACCCCCCCCCCTTCCTCATGCACGAATTTCGTGCACCAGGCCTCTAGTTAAGTATAATAAAGTAGGGAGTTGAATTGGACACTGAGCCTGATTCACTAGGAAATTGCAGCATTCATAGGCTCCCCAGGGAACCTAATCTCTGAAGCAGGCAGAAAGGATCAAAATGGATCAGAAAGGATTGTTACCAGTCATGACTTGGGGAGGAATGAAAACAGCAGGAGAAATTCCTGTGCTGGGCGCATGCCCAGCTAAAGCAAAGATGACATAGGGGGAGGTGCTTCTACATGAGGCAAGTGCAGTAGAAGTCAGGATGGGACCATCAGGGGCAGAGCTTAGCCTGGAGAAAGAATCGGATTGGATAAGGGACACAGAACCCTGAAAGATCTAGGAAATGGATTGGTTATAGGGGAAGGACCCAACACGAGTTGGGGAGGAACTGGGAAATTGGCTTGACCTGAGTGATGGTTAGTGGGTATTTTTGTGTAAGATTTGTCAAGCTGTTCAATTAAGGGATATATGTTTTCTTTCTTTTTTTGTTAATCCTGACTGAGGATATTTTTTTTCATTGACTTTTTTAGAGAGAGTGGAAGAGAGGAGGAGAGACACAGAGAGAGAAACATTGACGTGAGAGAAACACATCAATTGGTTGCCTCCCACATGTGCCCTGGCCGGAGCCGAGGATTGAGTCTGCAACTGAGGTACGTGCTTTTGACTGGAATCGAATCCAAGACCCTTCACTCCATGGGCCAGGGCGATGCTTTCTATATTCACACTGCACATCAAAAAGTGGGGGGGCAAAAGTTCTGGGTCTAAGGAGGCCATCAGGGTGGGGGGATGGTACTTGAAGATAAGAGTCCTGGCCTCCTTTATGCCCTCTAATTATGCAAGTGCTGGTGGGGTGCGGAGAGGGGGTGGAATCTTTCCAAGAACCACAAAGGCATTTCCCCGGTTCCTTTAGATGCTGGAGCTCCCCGGCAGGAAAGTCCACATCCTGGGAGACAGCCCTTTTGAGTTCTGGACAAAACACTTTTGGCTGCAGTCCCAGCCGTGTCTCTGGAACCAACAGCCTGCATTGTCTCCAAGCAGACAGGGAGAGAGTAGAGAGGGAAGCATGGAGAAGAGGAAGCAGGCACAGAAGTGTGGTTGGTAAGATGGGGACAGGACTGTGACCGGGAGAGGATGGCAGTGCACTGATCTCTCAGTCCCCATGGACTGATGGGAGAGTGGCCGGCCCTGGCCCTCCATAGCAATCTGGGCTCTGGCAGGCAGACCAAAGCAGCAGCCGGGGGCCCTGGCTGAGCCTCTCCCGGAGCCAACCCCAAGTTTCCGGGCCTCTGTGTCCCCATTTGCCGCAGGACAAAGCTCACTGTCCTCTCCTCTTCTGGGAGGGCAGCCACCGTGAGGATTGCAGCCAGGACGGCAGGACGCGCTTGCCACACAAATGAGCTGCTCTAAGGCATTATGATCTCAGGCCCAAGTGTGACTCTAGCTGGAAAACTGGGGGTGGGGGTGTTCTTCGTGGGAGGAAAGCTGGGGTTGGGGGTGACAACGAGTGCTCCTGGCTTCAAAGTTTCCAGGTCTGTGACAATTGGCGACTCTGTGCATCCTCTGTCTACATGGATCAAAATGATTTTAAAGACGTTTACTTCTGAAAAAGAACTCTTCCATCCCTGTCTAGCTTGCTCTTCTGCGCCCCCTGTAGACACTTTTATGAGTTCTCTCAGTATCTGTTACATGTTTTGCCAATAGGAGATGCAAGCAATAGAATATATAGTCTACTTCATGCCTTTCTTGTTGTTCTGTGCCCTGCTTTTTTTATTTAAACGTAGCAATATGTCCTAGAGATCTCTCACTGCCCACGAGTGAAGAGCCTCTTTGTTCTTTTTGGCAGTTGAACTGCGCTCCTGTGTCTTTTTAACGAGGACCCTGTGGAAAGGCACTTGGCTTGTGTGTGTGTCATTTGCACCCGTGCAGGTGTATCGGTAGTAATCGCTCCTGTTTCTGTCACCCAGACCTACCCCCCACTAACCTTTGAGGCCCTCAGTGGCCATGTACCAACCTCAGCTACCTGGAGAGTTGTCAGGGCTGTGTGTCCTGTGGTCCCGACTTCCTGGTTTTCCCACCCTCTGTCTCCGCCTGCAGGAGAGCCCAGCTCAGGGAAGATTGGACAGGACCTGATCCTTCCAGGATGGCCTGTTAGATGGGACCCAGTGTCAGCCTTTGTTTTCAGAAGACCAAGCCACAGAAGGCTCTTCCAGTCCTATTTACCCCCTCGGGGGCCATGCGTGTTTTCAGAGAGCCTTGG